TTTTTTTCGGGCTATTTAAAAAAATAAAGTTGATGATGGTTTTTTGAAAACGAAACGTCGGATATAAAAACTAAAAATACCATCGTGTAGTACCTTGAAAGTGCCAATGAAAAAGTGTTATTCGTTTTTTGATATCTTTTCAAATAAAGTCAGAAAAAAATAAAATTGATATTGTCAAATTCTGGTTTTTCCCAAATATCTCAGCAGGCCATGAAAATTCTTCAAGTTTCTAAACGGCATGTAAATTAGCTTTAAAGAACACAACTTTTTCCTAATTTAACCTAAGCTGTATCTCCAACAGGTACTGAGATTCCCATGCTTAGGATCCTTATCTTGGACACACTGTATATCTCCCAAGTTCGAGGAGTCAGGTTGTTTACCGATTGCTAAAACCTGGCAGTTCCACCTACCCGTTAATACACATAAATTTCTCATTCACAAAAAGCCAAATCAGATTTATGAAAGATATAAAACTTTCAAATTTCAGAATAAATCGAGGACACGAAACAGTCACACTTTTATTATTCCAAAACTCTAGACAGCCTGCTTTTCTCGTAGTTTCATTTATAACTCTATCAATCAATATCACTCTCTGTACAGTGAATTTAGATACTTCTTATATAATTTCAAGACAAAATAGAAAAAATATCTCAAGTCTTCTGGGTAGATAATATATTCATGTTATGCCTTGCTCATATGGTTTTCCCTTTGTCTCACATAAAGATGTATGTCGATGAATAAAGCCCATTTATTATTACTATTATTCCCGATAACTCGCGCTTTTGAATAACCTGTTGCTTGGCTAACACTGATTTTAAGTGATCATTGATATGAATTCCGGAATGAAAGGTGGACAAATATTCTCCTTCAACGTTTTTCTTTGTTAAAGACCAACAAGGTATCGGAGAAGACTAAAAAACCATTGTGTTGCTTTGCTTGCAGTCATTAGAACTGGGAAGTCTTTTGTATCGTTTTCGTATTTAGTGAAATAACCTACTTACATAAACTCCACATAAAAGAAAACCAACAAGTATCAAAGGAAACATTTTACAAGGCACTTGATATTTTGACGAATGACTGTTTCGTAAACGAGAAACAACGTTTATGTTCAATATCCCTACCGTTTATCTAATTGCTTTTGGGGAAAACGTTTCAATTAACGAAAATAATACACAGCAAACGCTATTATGACATTTGACTGACTTCAAATAATAGGTTTGACTGAATACGTGGTTAAATTGTCGTTCAAATCCCCACGAAATCTAGCAGAATGCATGAATAGAGGCGTCCATTAAATTAATTTAGATAGAGTAAATACCTATCTGTTTAATTTTTTGAGTATGCAAGGCAACGAATGAAGTGTACAGTGGGAAAAACAAATAAAAATCTTCATGGAGACATGAAAATAATCTCCCCAGCTCTAATGAATGACTGTTCAAGGATTTGTCTAATGATATACATGGTTCGACAATCACAAATAGCACTGTATTTTTTGAAGAAATAGTGTGTCATTATCAGCATGTATTCAATTATTGAATCCTCTGGGAGTTTTTCCATTCCATGAATAAAATAAGTTGAGATAAAAAATTACAACTGGGAGAATCTAAAATTTTTTCGTCGTTATCATCTACATTGATACAATCAAGAAAAAAAAATGTCTTCAGTTTTTGAAATCATCCACAAAGAGGAACACGGGTTTAGGAGAAAATCCAAAGAAGGCGCGTATATGTTGTCCAACAACGCATTTAGTCAAGCTAGCGTAGAGATACGAAACATATGGAAACCTCTTATCAAGCGAAAAACGACCAACTCCCGCCAAACGGCCATCTCCCGCTAAAACCAATGAAGCGGAAAGATAGGTGAAAGGTGAAAGCACCAGAATGACAAAAAAATAGTCAGATCTCGGAGGAATAAGTCCAGTTATCACCCGAAGACGATTGTGGATATCAGCAATCGAAACGTCGTGACGTAACGTGGTTTGAAATCTTTTAATTTTTATTTTTATTTTTCATTTTTGTTAAAAAAATTTTTTAATTTTTCAGTTTTTATTAATATTTCAATTTTTTATTTTCTGGTTGTAGCTTGTATTTTATTTCCTTGTAATCTCAGTTTTTTGTTTAAATAAAATTGTTATTTTCGGTTAATCTTCTTATTTTTTTTCAGGGATTTCAAATCAATTTATATTATATCAGACAATGGAAGTCCGAACTGATGATATACATCAATCAGTACATGTTTCGAACCTAGATAGGTTCATCATCAGCTAATATTCAAAATTATGGAGGAGAAATTCATAACTTCATATTTCTCCTTTCTTCTACTATATAAAAAATATTTCTTATTATCAATATGTCATCGTGACTATTTGTTTCATTAGTAATATTAATTAATTTTCTTTTCTCCGTTATAAAATGAATTATTTTCTTCTCCATAATTTTAAATATTAGCTGATAATGAACCTATATAGGTTCGAAACATGTACTGATTGATGGTTTCACCGCTGTAATATCTGATAGCCACATCAAATTGTGAAGACGACTTTGAGTTTTTATTCTTCGAAAATCTACTGCACTCCACTTTGAGATATAATGGACTTCTATCAGAGGTTAAATCCTTATGGCGCTCTAAGAGCGGTGTCTGTCCGGAAACAGGGATTCACGTTGGATTTAAATCGCTGGGGATTAAATTAATTTGGAAAACCGTTCTCAGGAAGTTTATTCCACATCTAATATGTACCGCTCTTGGTGGAATCTAATGTGCCAAGTCACTTCAACACTTTCCGCGAAAGTATCTATAAAAGACAGACAAATCTTCAACCTTTCGACGATGTTCCAGACTATCAAAGTTGCGAGTGATGTTCGTGTCTCGAATCAGGCGGATGGCTCTGTTCTGAATGCTTTGAACGCTGCTTTGAACACTGTTCCGGTTCGGAACAGTGTTCAAAGCAGCTTTAGGGAATGCTTAGGGATGGAGCTCCATATATGAGGACAATACTCCAAAGACGGTTCGATTAGAGCTTTATAAAGCTCTCAAAAATTCAGAACAATGTTTCAAGCTTTTGAGAAGCAGCTTCTGCAATTCCACAAACATGATTGTGCCGAAACTTATTGGTGTCCACTTCAATCCCCAAAAAACTTATCGAAGCAGAAAGCAGAGTTGTCTGTCCTGACATTATTATATCCAGTTCGGAAATATTCATCTTTTTGATGAAAACTGATGCATGGTTTTCATGGCATTGAGTTGCACCTGCTTACTTTCTCCCCAATTTCAAATTACCTCTAGATCCTCATTAAGATATGCAACCTCCTGCTCTGGTGAAGATATACATCCCCAACCGATGTCCTGGAATTCAAATCAAATGAGGAGACAAGTGTGCTGTCGTGAGCATGATTCATTTTTTTTTCCAATGAGTCGTTGATATACAATAAAAAGAGAGTTGGAGCCAATATGGATCCCTGAGAAGCACCAGCGGTGATGGTTGATGTTGAAGCCTTTCAAATATTTGAGAATATGGTGGTTTACAACTTTCTCCATGATTTTTCATGTCTCTGATAGCAAAACGACTGGTCTATAGTTATTTGGAAGATTTTCCTTGACCTTCTTGGGGATACGCTGAACGCAGGCAATATTCCAACAAGAAGGAAAAAACAAGTTGAAAAGCTTGCAAAACGCTGCTGCGAGTTCATTGTGGCACTTTTCAAGTACCATGATGATTATATAAAATCTCTTGGAGCATTTTCAATGTACTTTGCTGATTATTTTGAGTCAATCATTCACAAGCCTCAGTAATGGTGCAGAGTTCGAAAATATCCAATTCTCAACGATTTTCATGGTACAAAATAAACCTCGATTCAACAGAATATGTTTCTGTCAAAATCTGAATAAGCAATTACATAATAATTAATCAATTTGGCACAGCTTTTCAGGAAATATCAAGCCTTTATTGTAACTAATGAACAATTAGGAAAGCGTGAAAGAAGACTCGAAGGGCGTGATTTTATGAAAATTCGTTTTCGTTTATAATCTGACTTTCAATAGGCGTACAAATTTAGTTACAAAATTCCAAGAACAATGGCCTCGTGCAGTCAATTCATTATAGCTTTCATGCTACATCCAAAGTTTGTAGCAAATCCTTTGTACGTTATGTTGTGCAGCTCGAGCGGAATTGAAATTCTGTTTCAGAAGTCCACATTGCGAAGGAAATATTTCACGATCGTAAAGTGACATTTAATATAGTTACTCTTATATATGATTTCAATATTAACACTTGTTCACAAAAAGAATTTGAAGCTTTAATAACTTCTAATTATTATATGCGAGCGCTTTCGATAGCAGGCTCTATCATCTTCATGGCTCTACTCAAACTGAACGTTTTATCTTCTTTGATACGTTTAGAACGCGTTAGAGCAGGTATTTGTCCTTTCCTTTCATCCCGATATCTCTTTAAATTTGCCTGTACTTTAACATTTTCAATCTGACCTCTGGAAGCGACGCCAGTCGCTGTTGAGACATTGAAAGAAGGCCCATTTTCTAATTATGTTGACGTCATTATGAATTGATTTATCTGAGGAGTCTATATCCGAACTGAGCAATGTTATGATGGTGTATAATGTCCAGATATTTTTATGCCTGCCAAATCATTGTTATGCACTGAAAAAAAGAGCAGGCCTGGTATTGAGCCTTGATGTACGCCAGACGAAAAGGGTTTGTTTCGTTTCAACAAGAAAAGCAATGATTCCGTTAACTCTTACGATATTAGATGCTAACAGGTATTGCTATGCTATTTTTGGTTTTTATTTTGATAAATAAAACAACATTTGATGTTCATAGCCTTTTAATGAGACAACTACACATAGTATTTAAACAAGAACTTAAACCTAGTGTTTTCATCATGTGATGAGGAGTATAAGCGTCTTGAGTCTCCCATTTGAATTTATCTCTGAATATCGTATTTCTATGACTAGTCTTAATTGATGCGTGGTTATCTACAAACATTGCATAGCAATGGGATCCCTGAACAAAGTTACCTCGACAATATTGCTTTACTAGTACCACAAATGATTTGTGATGGTAGTAGATTATTAATTTTTTTATATGCTTTTTGGTTCGTTTTATAATAAATACTCTCTTAAATCACCAATTGCGATCACTCAGAGAAGAATTAGATCTACAGTTACACTTCAAATTTTTCCCTTAAATGGTTGACTATATAGAGGTGGCAACTCGAATTTACTGAATATTGATTGTTTCATGGTGGTCCATTTGAGGTATTTTATTATTCGTGCATTTCTATACATTTTACGTTTTTTTCAGGTGTTTTCATCATGGTACTGGAGAACCATAAAATAGATATTCATTGAAAAAACGCTGTACATCGTTTTACCAGTTTATTAGCGTTCCTGAATATATTACTTCATAACGAACATTTTAAATGTGAATTAAATTATTGATTTTTGAAGTATGAATTGTTTTGAAACATTATTTAAATATTTTGGGCTATGATTTTAACATCCCTATTGAAAACGTTTTAAATGGAAAAATCAAAGACTAATTTAACTGAAATGATAACAAAATATAGTATATTATGATGTAAACTTGATGTATTGAAATAAGTTTCATAGGAAGATTGCAAAACCAAATACAAGAAAACTACTTACTTATCATTCTGCATATCAAGAACATAATTTTCCAATTTTTTTCAGCCAAAGAACCACTTGTGTTAATCTTAACAGAATGTGTACCTATAACTTTATAATCAGCTATCAAATCACTATCATTTTGTTCACGTCGACCTTGTTCCTATTTGCATTATCTAGGAGATGAAAAAAATGATTTTGAGGTTCCAAGAGGAAAAAATCATTCGCAAATAGTTCAAGAAATATGCTGACACCCCCTCGGAGGGGTGCGTCCGACGACCCTTATTTAGATAGGGCAAAAATTTTCTTTCAACAGAGTTGTAAAGGTATTCGGAAGACCTTTGAAACAACGTGCCACTCGACCTACTTTCCCTATCTAAATAAGGGTCGTCGGACGCACCCCTCCGAGGGGGTGCGTACTACAAAAAATCTGATAAGTCTGAAAGGTGTCCCCCTTCAATTAGAAATCGACGTGTCCGAGCTTTTTTGAAAATCTTACTTTTTATATTCAAAAACGGCTCTGTTAGGTTTTCGTTGTTACACACTGTATATAGAAGAAAATGTAAATGGCGAAATGTATGATCACATGCTAGAAAGATCTATCGAACCTCGGATAGTTCATGAATTAGAGAATCACAGAGACATACACGGCAATTTATCTTTGAAAGAAAATGTATTACATTTTCAACAGAATGGGGAACCTTATTATTTTGTAGTTCCAGTTATTCAATGGTTAGATAATAATTATGCTGATCAATGTATTGGAAGAAGAGATTCTACTGAATGGCCTCTCACATCCCTGGACCTATCTCCTCTAGATTTTTTCCTCTGGGCCACTTACTTAAAATAGGTTGTTTTAAAGACGACGCAATCTGATTCAATAAAGCCACTGAAGGAAAGAATAATCCAAGAATGCTGAGCTATTTTCAGAGAAACATTTGCCAATGTTTCGGAATGACTTTCGGAAATGAAAATTGCGAAAGTTATAAACAATTTAGTGAAAAATAAAAAATGGGTCCAGTTTTTTGGAAATAT